AGCTGCATTATTCCCTCTCAGGTGGACACTCTGAGAAGTTCCACATTGACCCCCTGCGCGGTGCCATCACCACAGCTGGGCCGCTGAGTGGGGTCTCTGAGATGACCTTCTCTGTGCACGTGAGAGATGGCGGCTCGCTCCCGAGGGCTGACTCCACCACGGTGACCATCAGGTTTGCCAACAAAGCAGATTTCCCCAAAGTTCGAGCCAAAGAACAGGCACTGGTGTTTCCCGAGAACCAGCCGGTGGGCACCCTGGCCACCACGGTCACCGGGTCCTCCCCGCGGGGTGACGCACTGTCCTACTACATCGCCAGTGGAAACCTGGGCGGCGCCTTCCAGATCGACCCGCTGACCGGCCGGGTGTCCATCTGGCGGCCCCTAGACTTCGAGCGGACACAGAGGTATGTGGTGTGGATAGAGGCTCGAGACGCGGGCTTCCCGCCCTTCTCTTCTTATGAGAAACTGGACATTACGGTCTTGGATGTTAACGACAACGCCCCCATCTTTCGAGAAGACCCCTTTGCAGCGGCTGTCCTCGAAAACCTTTCTCCTCGGACAGTACTCACCGTCTCTGCGGTGGACAGGGACAGCGGGCCAAACAGCCAGTTAGGATATGAGATCGTGGATGGGAACGCGGAAAACAGCTTCAGTATCCACCACGCCACTGGGGAGATCAGAAGCACCCGACCCCTAGACCGAGAAAAAACCCCCCGTTACGTTCTCACCGTGAGATCCTCCGACAAGGGCTCTCCTTCCCGGAGCACCTCGGTGAGAGTCGTCATCACCGTGCTGGATGAAAACGACAATGCCCCCAAGTTTTCCCAGATCTTCACAGCCCACGTTTCGGAAAACTCGCCTCTGGGATTCACTGTGACTCGGGTCACGACGTCCGACGAGGACATCGGAGTCAATGCGGTCAGCAGGTACTCCCTCACGGACCAGAGCCTCCCATTCTCCATCAACCCCAGCACCGGCGACATCGTGGTCAGCAGGCCTCTAGACAGGGAGGACACGGACCGCTACCGAATTCGCGTCTCAGCGCACGATTCCGGGTGGACCGTGAGCACGGACGTGGCCATCTTCGTGACGGATGTGAACGACAATGCCCCGCGCTTCGGCAGGCCCTCCTACTACCTGGACTGCCCCGAACTGATGGACGTGGGTGCCGGCGTGGCGCGCGTCTCGGCTGCCGATCCTGACGAAGGGGCCAATGGACAAGTGGTTTACTTCATTAAGTCTCAGTCTGAGTACTTCAGGATTAACGCCACTACCGGGGAGATCTTCAACAAGCAGGCCTTAAAATACCAGAACATCAGCGGCATCGGAAACGTGAACGTCAACAGACACAGTTTCGTGGTGACCGCGTCGGACCGGGGCGCGCCGGCCCTGCTCAGTGAGACCACCGTCACCATCCGCATCGTGGACAGCAACGACAACGCACCGCGCTTCCCCCAAGACCGTTACTTCACCCCGGTCACCAAAACCGCGCGTGTGGGCGCCAGGCTGATCCAAGTCACCGCGGTGGATGACAAGGACTTTGGGCTGAACTCCCAGGTGGAGTATTTCATGTCTGACCACAGTAGGTTGGGGAGGTTTACGATGGACAGAGACACAGGGTGGATTTCTGTTGCGTCCTCGCTGATTTCCGACTTGAACCAGGACTTTCTGATCACAGTCACCGCGAAGGATAAAGGAAACCCTCCTCTTTCTTCCCAAGCTACGGTGCAAATAACTGTCACTGAAGAAAACTACCACACACCTGAATTCTCCCAGAGCCACGTGACGGTCACCGTTCCTGAGAGCTACGGCGTCGGGGGCGTCATCAGGACGCTGTCGGCCAGGGACGGGGATGCGGCCATGAACGGCGCCATCCAGTACGGCATCTCCTCCGGGAACGAAGAAGGCACTTTTGCCATCAACTCATCCACAGGGGTGCTGACCTTAGCCAAAGTCCTCGATTACGAGCTGTGCCGGAAACATGAGCTGACCGTCAGCGCTGCGGACGGAGGCTGGGTTGTCAGAACGGGCTTCTGCCGTGTGACCGTCCACGTGGCAGACGTGAACGACAATTCTCCGGCTTTTGTTCCCGAGGAGTATTTCCTTACTGTTCTGGAAAATGCCCCGAGTGGGACGACAGTGGTCCACCTGAACGCCACGGACGCAGACTCTGGGATGAACGCAGTGGTGGCGTACAGTGTGCAGGCCTCGGACAGTGACCTCTTCATCATCGACCCCAACACCGGCATCCTCACCACCCAGGGCTTCCTGGACTTCGAGACCAAGCAGAGTTACCACCTCACCGTGAAGGCCTTCAACGTGCCGGATGAGGACCGGTGCGGCTTCGCCTCCATCACCATCCAGCTGGAGGGCACCAACGAGTACGTGCCGCGCTTCGTCTCCAAACACTACTACTTTGAAGTCTCCGAGGCGGCGCCCCGGGGCACCGTGGTGGGGGAGGTCTTTGCCAGTGACCGGGACCTGGGCTCCGACGGCGAGGTCCATTATTTAATTTTTGGCAGCAGTCGAAAGAAAGGTTTGCAGATCAGTAAGAAGACGGGACAGATCTACGTGTCTGGGCTTCTGGATAGAGAGAAAGAAGAAAGGGTGTCTTTGAAGGTGCTGGCCAAGAACGCGGGCAGCATCCGGGGTGCGGACGTGGACGAGGTGACGGTGAACGTCACGGTGCTGGACGCCAATGACCCACCCGTGTTCAGCCTGGACGTGTACCGGGTGCAGGTGAGTGAGGGTGTCCCGGTGGGTACGCATGTCACCTTTGTCAGCGCCTTCGACGCTGACTCCACGCCCAGCTGGAGCCGCTTCTCCTATGTCCTGGGGCCAGGGAACGAGCAGGGCGCCTTCTCCGTGAACCCCCAGACGGGGCAGATCACGGTGACGGCCGAGCTGGACCGCGAAGCCCGCCCCGTGTACAACCTCACGGTCCTGGCCGTGGACTCGGGGACACCGCCGGCCACGGGCAGTGCTGCCCTGCTGGTCACCCTGGAGGACATCAATGATAACGGGCCGCTGCTGGCCATCAGCGAGGGGGAGGTGACAGAAAACCAGCGGCCGGGCACCCTGGTGCTCACCCTCCGCTCCACTGACCCCGACCTCCCGCCCAACCAGGGCCCTTTCACCTACCACCTCCTGAGCACGGGCCCCGCCACCAACTACTTCAGCCTGAGCTCAGTTGGGGTCCTGAGTACCACTAGGGAGATCGACCGAGAGCAGATTGCCACCTTCCGCCTGTCGGTGGTCACCCGGGACTCGGGCATCCCACAGATGTCCTCCACAGGGACAGTGCGCATCACCGTCCGGGACCAGAACGACAACCCCTCCCAGCCCCGTGCCCTGGACATCTTCGTCCACTACTTCGGGAAGGTGTTTCCGGGCGGGATCCTGGGCTCTGTGAAGCCGCAGGACCCCGACGTCCTGGACAGCTTCCGCTGCACGCTGACCTCGGGGCTCACGGGCCTCTTCAGCATCCCCGCAGGTGCCTGCGAGCTGAGCGCCCAGCCGCGCTCCTCCGACGGGGCCTTCGACCTGACGGTGCTCAGCAGTGACGGCCTGCACAGCGCGGTGACCAGCAGTGTCCGTGTGCTCTTCTCCGGCTTCTCTAACGCCACGGTGGACAACAGCATCTTGCTCCGCGTGGCCGTGCCCACCGTCAGGGATTTCCTGACGAACCATTACGTGCCTTTCCTGCGCACCGCCGGCTCGCAGCTGACAGGCCTGGGTACCGCTGTCCAGCTCTATGGGGCCTACGAAGAAAACAACAGGACGTTTCTCCTGGCAGCGGTGAAGAGAAACAGTAACCAGTATGTCAGTGCCAGCGGCGTGGCCACCTTCTTTGAGAGCATCCAGGAGGTGCTCCTGCGGCAGAGCGGGGTGAGGATCGAGTCTGTGGATCATGACGCCTGCGCCCAGGGGCCCTGCCAGAACGGGGGCAGCTGCATCCGGAGACTGGCCGTGAGCCCTGACCTGCAGAGCCGGGAGAGCCTGCCTGTCATCCTCGTGGCGAACGAGCCCCTCCAGCCGTTCTTCTGCAGGTGTCTGCCGGGGTACGCCGGCAACTGGTGCGAGACCGACATCGACGAGTGCCTGCCGGCCCCGTGCCACAATGGTGGAACCTGTCACAACTTGGTGGGGGGCTTTTCCTGCAGCTGTCCGGAGGGCTTCACCGGGAGGGCCTGTGAGAGAGATATCAATGAATGTCTGCCCAGCCCTTGCAAAAACGGGGCCATCTGCCAGAACTTTCCAGGAGGCTTCAACTGTGTTTGCAAAACTGGATATACAGGTATGCACCTATTTCACTTCTGTTCCCCAAACCCAAGACTTTAGCTATGTCGGGAATAGTAACAACAACAACAATAATAAGTTTTTGTATTTGTGTGTGTGAGAGAAAGAAAGAGAAAGGGGTGGGGGGAGAAGAAAGAACTCAGGACCTCAAGTTCTCACAGTCAGCTTTCTTGTTCTAACACTTGAGCCTTGCTCCAGCCCAGCTTCTTACTGGTTCATTGGAGAAGGAGTATTGAAGATTTTTTCTACTCAAGCAGGCTTTCAACTTTGACCCCCAGATCTCAGCTTCCTAAGAAGCTAGTATGAGCCACTGGGTGAATTTTGTCATTTTAAAATATCATTTCACCATAGTGAACATAATCATAAATATTTTCAAGCCTTCACTGTTCGTCAAATGTTGGTCTGCTCGCTTGATATGGGTTGAAATTTATTTTCTTCTTACAAGAAAACCTGTGAGAGAAGGGTATTTTCTAGCTTTCAGACAGAAGGAATTTAATGGATAGAAAAGTCCACTATGTGTTTGAAGGATGATACAGTTAATTCACAGGACTGTCTTAATTCAAGTCTACATAGTTCACTCCAGAGTTTAAATAGTGTGTTTAGTGTGTTCTGAGCAGTATACCAGTGGCTTACACCCATAATTCTAACTACTCAGGAGCCTGAGATCTGAGGATTGAGGTTGGAAGCCAGCCTGGACAGACAAATTGAAGAGATTCATCTCAAGTTAACCAGCATAAAGCTAGAAGTGAGCCAGGCACTGGTGGCTCACATCTGTAATCCTAGCTATTCAGGAGGCTAATATCTGAGGATCATGGTTAAAGCTAGCTTGGGCAAGAAAGTCTGCAAGAGTCTTATCTCTGCTAAACTACCAAAAAGTCTAGAAGTGGAACTATAAATCAAGTGGTAGAGTGCTACCTTTGGGCAAAAGAATCTCAGGGACAGTGCCTAGACCCTAAGTTCAAGCCCCAGGACTGTCATAAACACACATAAAAGCCAGAAGTAGACTATGACTCAAGTGGTAGAGTATCAGCTGCGAATAGAAAAGCCCAGAAAAAAATACAAGGCCTTGATTATAAACCTCAGGACGTCTGTAAAATAAAAGGTTAAAAAAAAGGAAAAAAGAAATGTCTTCCTAAAAGAGTTCTTTAAATTTGAAAAGATTGTGTGTGTGTGTGTATACATATATGTATACATACATATGTATGTATATGTATACACACACATATATATAATATATATGGATAGATACATACACACACCTGTATATATGTGCTATGAGATCAGCATGTCAGCATTCTTTTTCAACCACCTCCCAGATTCTTTCTTGGCTAGGAATTAATCACTGAAGACTCTTTATTCTATTTGTAACACAATACACTTATATACATATATGTTTAGTGCAAGTTTGTCTTTAATCTCAGGAAGAAGAAATGGGGATGCACTTTATCTTCAAAGGGAGCAGGAATGGGCTCTCTGCTGTGTGCACGGCACCGAGAACTGAGCCCATTGAACTCCTGGCATGTCTCTTTCTAGCTCATTTCTTTCTTTGTTTAATCTTGTGTATTTTTCTAAATGTGGTATCTTAAACTTTTAAGACTGCTCTTTTTACCATCTTAGACAGATAGATGATAGATACATGACAGATTGATAGACACACATATAGATGATATAGATGAAAGTGATTATGATTATTGAGAGGTTATATACAGAGCTACTTTCAAACTCTTGGCCCTGTAGACACTATTACATTGCATTCTCAGAGCTCTGTGAGATGGATATAATCATTATTCTCCTTTCAAGGAAAAAAACCCACTGCTGTTAGGGGATTAAAAGAGATTAAGGGAGTGCCTCCAGCTGGGGCTCAGAAAGTGCCCATCAGCTGGAGTCTGAAGCCCTGGCCTTTGTATGCCCATCACAGCCCCGCTTCCTCCCTCACTGATTTGTGCTTGCTATAGAAAACCAGAGTGGAATTCTTAGTATTTTATTTTAAAAATCATGTGTCCTTTCCCCCTCCCCCTCACATTCCCCCCCAACCTGTGTGAGAGTGTATTGGATAGAGCCTGGTCCAGGAGGAGGTGTTAGATGGCAGGAAGTAGTGTGCAGAATCTCCACACTAAGTGCAGAATCAGAGAAATCGCCAGTGATGTTAGCAGAGGCACACTACTTGTCACCTCCCTCACTTCAGGGGGTCAGGGAGAAGAGTTGCTGCCATTCTCTTCCACTGCCATTCACTGCTCTTTCATTGGCCACCTACAAGCCAATGGTGCACTGGAAAGAGGCAAGGGAGAGGGAGACTGGTGCATTATTCTATTGTGCAGAAAGTGAGGAAAAATACCTGTACAGAGAGATACAATATGTGAGCCCGGCCCCAGCAGCCAATGCTTGTGATCATAGCTCCACAGGAAGCTGGCATCCAGATTGAGGTTTGAATCTAGCCCAGGCAGAAAAATCTGCAAGGCTCCATCTCCAAAATAACCAGCAAAATGATAGGCTGGAGGCATGATTCAAGTAAGTGTGAGATCTCGATTTCAAACTCCAGTTTCAGGAACAGAAAAACAATAATAAGGAAAGATGATATCTGTCATTAGGAAAGATATTAAAATTCCTATTTTAATTGTAGGAAATGGACTTACTTCCTCAGGGTTAAACCTCCCATGAGTACACCATAAATTCTTTTTGTAGGAAAGGTTATTTGAAGTCAAGCATTAGTTCCACCTACTTCTCTGAGTTCATTTCTGTCTCCATTTGCATAGCTGGAGATAATCCAGATGATCAGCTATTATATAAACAAGTATAAAATCAAATGACTAGGGCTGGGAAAGTGGCTCAGTGGTAGAGTGCTTGCCTTGCATGCATGAGGCACTGGGTTTGATTCCTCAGCACCACATAAGCAGAAAAGGCTGGAAGTGGTGCTGTGGCTCAAGTGGGTAGAGCACTACCCTTGAGCTGAAGAGCTGAGGGACAGTGCCCAGGCCACACAACCAACAACAACAACAAAAAATCAAATGAGTAATGTGAATCTTACATTTAAAAAATTATATACTTCATTATTTCAAATTCCAACCAATCTATAAAAACTAGCAGATAAAGTCTGATTGTTTTATTTCTTTTCTTTATTTTGTAATCCAACAGAAAGCTTGATAATAAGCCAGATGCTAGCAACTCATGCCTGCAATCCTAGCTATGGAGGTGACTCAGACCTGAAGTTCAACTGGCCTAGTCAGAAGTTGATGGGGCTCTTATTTCCCATTAGCCAGCAAAACAAAACAAAACCAAGGAAAAAACTCACAAAAATGGAATTGGAAGCACCATAACCCTAACCCAACCCCTAATCCTCACTGTAAACCTAACCTTCACCCTCACCCTAACCCTCACTGTCACCTTAACCCTCACCCTAACCCTGTCACCCACACGCTAAAACTCACCCTCATCCTAACCCTCACCCTCACCCTAACCCTACCTTAAAACTCACCCTAACCCTAACCCTCACCATAAACCTAACTTTAACCCTCACCCTCATACTAACCCTAACCCTCACCTTAACCCTCACCCTAATCCTCACCCTAACCCTAACGCTAACCCTAACCCTCACCCTAACCCTTATCCTCACACTAACCCTAACCCTCACCCTAACCCTTATCCTCACACTAACCCTAACCCTCACCCTAACCCTTATCCTCACATTAACCCTAACCCTCACCCTAACACTCACCTTACCCCTCACCCTACCCCTCACCCTAACCCTAACCCTCACCCTAACCCTAACCCGAACCCTCACCTTCACCCTAACCCTCACTGTCACCCTAACCCTCAACGTGCTTGGAGCACAAATGCTACAATAGAGCACTTAGGCCTTGAGTTCAAACCATAGTCCTTACACACAGAAAGAAATAGGGGGTGGGGTGGGAGTGGGGAGGGAAAGAGGGAGAAATGAAGAAAGAAAGGAAGGAAGAAAAGGAGGGAAGGAGGGACGAGAGAGGGAGGGGGAAAGAAAGTAAGACAAGAAAGAAAAGAGAGAGAGAAATTGAGGGGAAGTGAGAAAGAAGGGGAGGAAGGGAAGGAAGGGAAGGAAGGAAGGGAGGGAGGAAGGAAGGAAGGAAGGAAAGGAGGGAGGGAAGGAAGGAGGGAGGGAGGGAGAGAGGGAAAGGAGGAAAGGAAGGGATAGAAGGAAGGAAGGCAATTCTCAGGTAGAAATGTGTTAAGTTTCTACACTTGTTTAATGGTCTTGTCAGTGTGGTTTCTGACAAAGCAAAGCATATTAGCCCCTAGCTAGAATCACAGGGTAGCCCCACTAAGGAAGACGGAGCTGATAGCACCAAAATATCTTCAAGAGCTGCTCACAAGACAAATTCCATGCTATATTGAAATGTGACCTACAAAATGAATTTTGGAAGAATACCATATTAGACTTGCTCTATTTTAATTTTTTTAACTGACATAGATTAATTGAATGTATTTGTTGGGAATTAGAAGACATTAGGTTAAGTGACATAAACCAGGCACAAATAGACAAACATCACTATCGTGTTCTCTCTTTACTTGGAAGTTATAGATCTGTACATAGGCCTGTAATTACTGGGAAGTGGAGTGAGAAGAGGAGGGTGGGTAATAGGAAAATATTCCTGGTATTTATGTTAATGTAATACTAGGGCTTAGTGGAGTCTTATCTCTTCAAAGTTTGCATATATTCACCAAGTATTTTTGGTCATCAGAATTATTTTAAATCATATGTATTTTTATCATATTCTACTTTTACTTGTGGACTTTTGCTTATATTTTGTCTATGGGTTTTAAGTCTATGAAATTACAAATCAAAGCTGCTTAGATGTTTCTGTGACAGCCTGGGTCTCAGCCTCTCCTTCTATCTTGGTTTGTCCCTGTTACTCTGTCTCACTTTCTCTGTGAGTGTCTTTCGGTGTCTCTCTGGTTCTCTCTGTCTCTGTCACTGTTTCTCTCTCACACATACCAATGCATATAATGTGTAAGTACAGTGGACTG